TACTAAGAGTTCTGAAAAGTTCTTAGTCTGAAAATTATTCTGCATTCCATTACCTTCAGAGTTATTTTTAGACACTATTCAAAGATTAAAAATGATTCCCTTAAGAAAAAGCGTACTATAACGAAATAACAAAGGAACTAGATGTATCTTTAAGAAAATTGTTTACTTTAGGACTAAGCTTCTAAGAAATATTTCAGTTATTATTTATAAATTTAAAAACAACCTTCGAGTATCGATCATCACGTCTTCCAAATTTCCAGTTGTCATTGCTCCTTCGTTCTCTACTTCGATCCCCATATCGATTTCTGTTATCTGATCTCCTATCATCTACTCGAGAATCCATTTCGTAGTCACGTCTAACAGTTTTTTCCTTCTTTTTCTCACGATCTCCAAAAAGCTCGCCTGCACGGTCTTTGTCAAAGTCACGACTGCTACCGGCACTTTTTCCATCCCTGACTTTTTCACGTTCTGGGCTTTCTGAGTTGCTTTTATCACCGCTTCGCTCACTCTTATAACTTTTTCGCGGAGGTCCGGACGCTTCTTCCGAAGAATATGATTTCCTCACTTCCTGGAAACGCCTGAAAAAAAAAAAGCTGAACATAAAAACTAATCATTATTCCAATGTAATTAAGAAAAATTCACAAAACTACAACTACAAAGATAAACTACACTATTTTACAATACAGTTAAGATCTACCGTTTCTGTACTTCATTTGATCCCTTGCCATCGCCTTTCTGCGGCTCACTTTCTTCGGAAGAAGAGCGGTGCTGAAAATCATGAATCAAAAATCCTCAAAACAGCGGTTAATGGCTATTCACTATTTTACAGAAAACGATATGGTGGCAGGTACACTGTTGAAATGTCTTAAATTTTTTTTTAAATTTCTTGAGATTTTTTACCACTCACTCTTCAGAGCTTGGGAGTTCCTCGGAAAATGGCGGGGAAAATCTTTTTATTTATTATCATTACTTTTTTTTTTTTTAGACTTCTACCAAATATGTGTATTTCACACACCAATCAACTGCAAAAATTCCAAAATAAATAGAAACTTTCCTTTCCGAATAAAAAAATTCAAATGTACAATGACTGTCTGAAAAATCCAGCCAACAATCAACAAACGTTGAAGTGATGTACAAATTATTCTTGTTTCCAATCTTCCTTGCCCTTCAATTTTCCCAGTAAATTTTTTTGCATGAGAATTATACCGAAAATGGAAATAAAAAGCAAGACAAAAAAAAATTACACCAACTCACATGACTAGATTTCATCCGTTGAATACCAGGTAGACAAAATTATGGCAGTATAGGTTGACGGGTAAAAGTTTTCTATATACAACAACAAATTAAACCAAAAGTTGTTTTCAGCAACAACCAGCGTACAGAACAGAAACAAAAGCGTATTAGTGTCGCGTTAAAATGAAGGAAATAAATCAAACAAGTCGGGGGAGAGGGGGAAGAGGCGCAGAAAAAAACGGAGAAAAAAGAACAAAAAAAAAAAAGAAAAACGAAAGGTGGCAAAGATATTCAAGGGAGCTTAACCCGATCTTCTGAACATTTAGCAACAAACGAAAGCAACCAGAAAGCAGAAATAAAGAAACAATAAACAAATAAACAAGCAAAAAAAAAAAAAGAATGGCGAGTGGAAAAAGTAAAGGCAGACAATTGACGCAACTTATGATAATACGCAAATATATGTTTATAATTATACCTCCAACGTTACGCACAATATATTTGGCGTAAATGTTTAGAGGTGGAGAAGACTGCCAAATTGGCAGTTCGCCAATTACCCAAATTTACCACCATTGTTTTAACCTTTGTTCTGCAGAGCATCAAACGTCATCACTATAACACAGTGGAACTCTGTTGCGGTTGTTAACAACAGCGATTATGTTACGGATGGTTCAGCTGTTCTGATAGTTGTTGTTGTATCCGCTGACTGTGCTCTGAGTGTTATTCTTGTTGTTTGTACCTGTAGATGAATATTTTTTTTTATAGCTGAATTCAAGTAGTTACGGTCTATTTATGTAGACATTGTCGGATGGAATGTGCATTGCACTTTTTTAGGTGTCAAAATTATGTTAACAGAAAGTAACTAGGTTTAGCCTTATTGCCGTGCTTAGTGTTTATGCACATTTGACTAAGTAGGTTATGAATTTAATCAGAATGTTTATGTTAGTGTTATTAATGTATTTTCAATCGTTTTTTTTTT